TTTAGTCATGATCATGCATTTAGTTTTCTTTAAATTTATCTTCAGCCCGTACTCATGACAGCGTGCATTAAGGCGTTGCATTACGTTCTGTAAATCATTACCACGTGAGCCATAATTATCTCCCAATCTTCTGGTACCTGGGAGAAATTATGTCCTGAACCCATTCTCCCATCTAATTACCAAAGTTTCCATTCCTATATCCTACTCTGTGAGACAGTAGCATCAGTACCAAGATAGAGCGTAAGGGAAATGATCCTGGATCGATATATTATTGGATACTAGAGCTGCTAAATTAACCGAACGATTACCGGTATAAGTAATCCCCCACCTGTTGGTCAACAGCTAAGGGTGGAAGAACCGACACGTGGTAGGAGCACTTCATTGCCCTGGAGCATAGAAATTAACTCCGAAGGCGGAAAAACTAAATTAGTCAACGGCATTGAGATGTGGAAAGCCAGGAGATCACTACCACATTAAAGATCCGTAAGGATATCCTTAGTAAAAATCGTCATGGACCCATTAATGGATAAAAAAATATCTAACATTACAGAGATTTTATTAAAAAATTGTGAATTTTTGACATCTTTTAGAAAAATGTAATTAGTGACTTACCTGCCGAAACATTGTCTAAAAACTCATGCTATAATAGAAGGTACACTCAATAAAGGAAGAAAAGAATTTAAATGAGTTTTAAAAATTATAAATTATTACAACGGCAAAAAACTATAATTGCTGATTAAGTCAATTAACTGAGCTAACATAATCCACAAAATAGCATGCAATAATGACTTTTTACCTGCCAGGATCTTATTAAAATTTACAAATAATGAAATTTTCAAATTGAAAGTCTGTGTTGAAACGATGTTTGTAGCTAGTGACTTTTTCCAGGCAAAGATCTTAAACCATTAATGCATGTGTTGATAAAATGTCAATTTTGATCATTTTTGAACTTAGTGAGTTTTACTTGTCAACTGACGATATGTAAATTAGTATTTTTGAGGTTGCCAAGTTCCTAAATTAAAGATTAAACTTTCAGTTTCTGAAGAGCGATCATAGCTTATTTCAATTTGGGCCGTTATTTTTTAGTTGATAGTTATGCACGTCCACTCGAGTTTTAAGCTAGATTCAAAACTCAAATCGAAGATGACTTGAGGAATCTAGGGGTCGGAAATTGGAAAGCCAGGGCGAAAGATAGGGGAATGGAGACTAATTATTAAACAGGACAAGACCCACCCAGGTTAGAGCCAAAGATGATGATGATGACTCGATTTTTAGGACCCAGTAGCGCGGGTCTGCCGTACTATATGGTTCGACTCTGTCGGACTTATACGTATTATACATTTATACATACTTACGCGAAAAATTTCCAACAAATATAAACATTTAATAATAGTTATTTATGTACCAAGGGTATTAAATAGATGTTTATGCCCAGGGGGCGACGATGTATAGTCGCCTGGGGCCATATACATACAGGGTGTCCCATAATTAATTGGACATTAGCTAATGGATGATAGCTGACATCAAAATAAGCGTTTGAGATCAAATTGCTTACGCAAAATATTGCTAGTTTTCGTTCTACAGGGTGATTCATTAATATTTTTTTTATATTATTTTAGGGATATATTGACAACTATTTAATCGATTTAAGTGAAATTTAGTATCTTGCTATTATTTAGTATGCTTAATATGAAAATGATATTAGTTTTACCATTGACACTAGGTGGCGCCACCTACTATACTATTGGTTCATTAATGTGGCCATAATTTTTTTGTCCGCCCTGTATATACATTCTAGGAAAAAACATGAAATAACATTAAATTTTAAACAAAGCAGGTATATTTGTTTCAAATCAAAAAAAAGTACACCGTTTTCGAAATAAACGTAATTTGTTAATGAGGCATGTCTCTATTTAATCTTTTGCAAAACAAATATGCTTTGAACTTAATGGCCACTTGAAGACGTAATGCCACGAAAATTTTATATTCTTGTAAAGCAGCTCAACACATTTTCGAACTGTATCCCAATAGAAGGCAACCAAACAGGTAGGAATGCTGAAAGACCAAAGAGTAATTGATGCGGATATGGAGGGTGAAATTGTTGTACGTATTGCAGAAGATCCAGAAACTAGTACATGGCTTGTTTCTGCGGCCACTGGTATAAGCAAATCTACGGTGTCAAGAATAATAACGGACAGAAAATCTGTATCTGTATCGTTTTACTCCAGTACAGTTTATGATAGGGCAGCATTTAGATGATCCAATGTTTTATAATAAAATTTTATTTAGCGACAAAGCCACATTTACTTGAAGAGGTGTGTTTAACTGGCACAATAGTTATACTTATGCGACAGAAAATACTCATGCATTTCAAGAACATCATTTTCAACATGAGTTTTCCATAAATATCTGGTGTGGCATATTTGGAAATTGTATTGTAGGACCATTCGAATTACCAACTAGGCTTGATGGAGTAACATATATAAAATTTTTGTGAGAAGATTTACCAACACTTTAAGAAGACATACCTTTAAATTTGAGACGTAACTCTTGGTACATGCACCACATTATAGCCTAGAAGTTAGAAATTATCTTAGATGAAATTTATCCTCAAAGGTGGATTGGTTAGAGGTAGTGTATTCCATGGCCAGCACGTAGTCCCGAACTAAATCCCCCTGACTTTCACTTGTGGGGCTACCTAAGGTAACTTGCTTATGAAAAAAAATTAATAACCAAAAGTTATGACAAAAATATTGTTATCCTAATTACGGCCCAAAAAAATCATTATTTAAAATATAGACAAAAGTAACACAAAAGATTTAGATTATGTAGCTAATGGTGAATATTTTAAACACTTATTGTAATTTTTTTTCGATTCGTTTTGAAATTGGGTTTCACTTAGGATTCACTGCCAATTGCTTTATATTCACTTCTTTGTTTAATTTAATTTAATTTCTGAATTTTTTTAAAATGTGTTACTGTCTATAAAAGTTTTAATAAAAATAATTGTTTCAATCATATACATTTTGTTTGCAAAAATTATCTACTACTAATACATTTAATATTCACTGATATTTAAGACCTTTTGAATAATGTTTGTATTTACATAAGTTTTTGTACATTTTTTTCATTTTGTGCACGTCTCTAAGAAATACGTTTATTTTGAAAACTTTGTACTTTTTTCATTTGAAACAAGAATACCTTTTTTGTGTAGAACTAATGGTATTTCATATTTTGTTTCCCTAGAATGTTTCTACAGGGCGGTTCAAAAAATTATGGCCGCATTAATGAACCAATGTTATAGTAGGTGGCGCCATCTAGTGGTCAATGGTAAAACTAATATCATTTTCATATCAAGCATACTAAATTAATGCAAGATGCCAAATTTTACTTAAATCGGTTAAATAGTTTTCAATATATCCCTAAAAATAATATAAAAAATATTATTGAAGCACTCTGTAGAACGAAAACTAGCAACATTTTGCCAAAGCAATATTAAGCTCAAAACACTTTATTTTGATATCAGCTATCACCCATTAGCTAATGTATAATTAATTATGGGACACCCTGTATATTATTACCCGCGGTGCATACAAAACTTTTATGTCATACAGTTCGTTATTGTCATCTACAAATTAAATATGTTCTAAAAAATCCGAAAATTCGATTTCATTTTGACAATATATTTACTATGAGACATTCTATAATCCGTGTTATGTTGCTTCGCTACGGAAATGCTGTCAAACGTGTCAAAACTACAATGCAAGATATTTATGAGATCCTAAATAATTACTGGATCCTTTCAGGAATTGCCAGTTTTATGTGAGTTCTAAATAATGTAAATGAGTTTGACATAAATTTCTAATCTTTTGATTGATAACTTTTACCTGCAGGGATCTTATCAAAATTTGCAAATAGTGAAATATTTAAAATTAATAGTCGTATTAAAAACGATGTCAGGCAATAATCTTAAATTATTAATGCATTTGGTGATAAAATGTCAATCATTGATCATTTTTATACTTGAATTTATTCAGCTGGTATTTATTCGTTCAACCCAAAAGAACATGTTTCCCTACTTTAAAACTTTTATTAACAAAAATATAAAAACATTAAATAAAGATGGCATTATTCTTAATAACTTAATTTGGTGCTAGTTGAGGCGCTAGTTGTTTCAAATCAAAAAAAAGTACACCGTTTTCGAAATATAAACGTAATTATGTTAATGAGGCATGTCTCTATGTTAATCTTTTGCAAAACACAATATGCTTTGAACTTAATGGCCACTTCAAGACGTAATGCCACGAAAATTTTTATTATCTCGTAAAGCAGCTCAACGCTATTTCGAACTGTATCCAATAGAAGGCAACAAACAGGTAGGAATGCTGAAAGACCAAGAGTAATTGATGCGGATATGGAGGGTGAAAATTGTTGTACGTATTGCAGAAGATCCAGAAACTAGTACATGGCTTGTTTTCTGCGGCCACTGGTATAAGCAAATTTACGGTGTCAAGAATAATACGGACAGAAAATCTGTATCTGTATCGTTTTTACTCCAGTACAGAATCTTTTACCAGAGGATTTTCCAGCAAGGCTCCGATTTAGTCAGTTTATGATAGGGCAGCATTTAGATGATCCAATGTTTTATACTTCAAACATGTCAAACGTGTCAAACTAACATGCAAGATATTTATGAGATCCTAATGTAATCTAAATATTACTGGATCCTTTCAGAATTGCCAGTTTTATGTAAGTTCTAAATAATGTAAATGAGTTTGACATAAATTTCTAATCTTTTGATTGATAACATTTTACCTGCAGGGATCTTATCAAATTTGCAAATAGTGAAATATTTAAAATTGAAAGTCGTATTAAAATGATGTCAGGCAAATATCTTAAACCATTAATGCATTTGGTGATAAAATGTCAATTATTGATCATTTTTATACTTGAATTTATTCAGCTGGTATTTATTCGTTCAAGCCAAAAGAAACTGTTTCCCTACTTTAAAACTTTTATTAACAAAAATATAAAAACATTAAATAAAGATGGCATTGTTCTTAATAACTTAATTTGGTGCTAGTTGAGGCCTATATTGGAATTGAGGTTTGCCAATTGGTTTTTTGGGCAAAGGTTTTGGAGCTTGTGGGGGTAAATCTTCATCTTCTAGTTCATCTAGTTCTGCATCTCTTGGGTCACATTTGTTGCCAGCTTCATACTCAAATTCCCTAAAAATTTAAAACATTGGTCAATATAAGAACTATTACAAAAAAAAATTAAATGATTAAAACTCAAAATATAGGAAAATAATACAACAGCTCTTAACTGGTTTTATACTTTATAACCATAATTTATCATAAATATTTACGCACCTTTTAGTTCCTTCGGGATCGACATATCCATATTTTCCCTTAATAACACAGTCAATACCCAAGGTTTCTTCCTTAAATGTTCCGTCTTCGTTTTCAAAACCCCAAGTAATACTTCCATCGGGATTATCCGTCCTGTATTTTCTTAAAATTTGAACAACAGGTTTCTTCCTCCTATTTTGTTCATCGTCGTCGTATTGAGGTCGTGGCGCTGGTCTGAGAGCTGGAGCAGGTCTGTACTGTTGGGCGGCTGGTTGAGGTCTGGGCTGTAATAAATTAAAATCGTTGTTAGATAATGTGGTAACTAATTTTCTAACTTAACTTTTTTTTGTTTCTTGCTTTTTATCCTAATTGTAGTGTTAGGGTATATGAAATTGTGTCTTTTAGATGACAAATCAACTGATAAGAGAGGTTTCCCCACCATAACTTGGGTGATCTAGGTAAGCAGAGATTAAAAAAGAATCCGCAAAATCCACTTTAAAATTTTTTATTCCTCGTTTTCATTGCTATTTATTGAAACAAACATCTGAACAATCTGAAACAAACTTTTTTGAGTTTGCAGACGAAAAATACCCAAATAAAAACCAAATACAAAATTAAATTAAAAAATTTAAAGGAGCAGACTAACTGCATTAGATCTAGTTATTACAAGACCCCTTACAGACGTCAAAGGATTCAGTTTTCCTACTGGGTATTAAAGACTTTAATTACTGAGTGCTTGAATAGTCCTGGTGGTTAGGGATCTAAATATATCTCGTCTCCACGAGATGCAACTTGTAAAACATTGAAAAATGGCTGAAGAGTTACAAACCTAGTTAATTCCTGGACTGTCTGTGACCTCCTAAATACTCCGGTACACATGTATGCAAAAAAAATAAACAGCCTTCCGGAAGGCTTCAAACAAAGATCCTAGACCTATCCTGAGATCTGCCAATTTAATATAAAAAACATAAGAAAAAACAGTAAATTAAAGAAAGAATATTTGTCAAAACTTTTACTGGATAAGGGTATCGATATCCTTCTCCTATAAGGAACACATTTTTCAGAAGAAACTTAACTCTATTTGAGGAGTAAGTATGTGGACTAACAAAATCATTGGTACTACTCAAGCTTTGGCAACCCCTACGTATGTAGGGGTAGCCAAAGCCAGAGCTCGTCTCTATTTCCAATAGTTGAGAAAGATTTATTATACTACTAATAAAGTGGTCGATCTGACTACCATCAATATTTATAACACCCAATCATCCCTGTTTAGCAAATCAGCTGCCATACGTTAGCCAACCTTAATTGCAGCCTACTTCAACAACTAACATACTTTCTGGAAGTACAAAAAGAACCACCAGAATGAGCTCAAAATTGTTGAATAAGCAGAGACACAAAACATACATATAATCTACAGCCTTGGAGGTATTGTAATTTTTAAATCAGTTAGACAGGGCTCAGGACAGGTGCTATGTGCCACCACTGACCAATAGGTCAAAACATTTCTGTATACCGCTACATTATTAAACAATTCTTATACGCCAACATAGACCAGTCTTCATTGAAGTGGTTATACTGATTCCTATGGTTGAGATATATCCCAACCGTCTCGCTGAAACATCTTCAAAGGAGATTAAACTAGCTTTGCCCAAGATTTAGATTCCTAGATATATGAGAATAGAGTTCATATTAGTCTCTCAGGTCTATGTGAAGAATGAAAAAAAGTCGCGGACGACCTACTGCATAACCTGATAAATGAAATGGTGGAGTATAACTGAACAAAAAGATTTAAACGAACCAGCAGAAAAAATTGGAACTTTCTGAAAAAATTAGAACCCAAATCTCACGTTCCATAAACCAAGCCAAATACCAGCCCTGACCAAATTGACAACAATATATTAAATCATACAAAGCACCAGTTGGCAAACAACAGAATACTCACAGTACGTGAGTTATTTAGAGCACTGCATAACTAGACTAAAAGAAAACAAAGATTATCGCCATTCTCAAACCTGACAATCCAGACATCCTAAGCAACGGCTTTCCGCAGGGATCAGTGTTCGCGCCTCTACTGTTCAACCTCTATCTGGCTGACCCACCAATCACCACATCCAGAAAGTTTATGTATGCTGATGATATTTCGCTCAAACCCAACATTATTAAATGGCATTGGTGGCAAAATACTTCATGAAATGGCGGCTCATTTAAGCGTTAAAATGTTACCATTCAATACATACCAAAAATACCTTGCGAGACACTAGATCGCACTATCTACTTTAATAAAGATCTGACAATTTCAGATTCAAAACTTAAATCCCAAAGTAATAAACTTTAAAAACTAGCAGAAACAACCTTGCAAGCTAAGGCAAAAACACCCTGTCCCATCTTACAAGTCTGGTTTACTCTACATCTGACTACTGCTACTCAGTCTGGTTGAACAGTCCCCGTGTAGACAATATCGACAGAGTATAAAACCAAACAATGATGATAATTTCTGGAACTATCAAAACAACACTACTCTTTTGGTTGCTGGTCCTAAGCAATAAAGTACGAAGATGACGGATTACTCTTTCACCAGGACTTAATTGATTTCAGAAGACTCAAATCCAAAACCCTTCATCGAGGCTGCTCAACGTATACGCCAAAACTACAACAGTTCACTTGGGGTTTTCACTGGTTCCGATGGTGACCTTTTAAAGCCAGAAGACTGGCTATAAAGTAGCTGCACTATCTAAATATATAACTGTTATGTATAGCTGGATGAGTGATATCGGTTCCAATAATAGTTTTGAATTGTGCGGAGATATTTGCCATCTACCTTCATTTTCTTTAGTTTATACAACAGTTTTTCATGCTGGACCATATCAAAAGCCTTTTGGTAGTGGATGAAACACACCTTGTCAATCTGTCACTCTATTCTACGTATTTCGCTTTTATTAGCTCACCAGATAGAATTTGATGGTATAGACGAAATAAAGAACATATATCGCTTTCTATATTTATGTTTAATTCAAAATTTTTTAGTCACTCAGTGACTAATGTAATCTGGATTATGCAGAAGCAAACCTACTACCATGACATTCTATAAATCCACATTGCACTGGTCGTATAATTTTTTATACAACTATATTTTTTTCGCTGATTTTTACATCTACTAGCCTAAGTAAATTGTGTGAGATTAAAAATAGTATTATTACCTTTTGCCTTACAGGTTGTCTCGGAATATTTTCTTCATCGTCAATATCTATTTCTTGTCTGACTACAGGCCGAATTGGTCGAGGTGCAGGCCTACTTTGAGCAACTGGTCTAAGAGCAGGTTGTGATGGTTTTTCCCTGATCTGATCTCTAAGTACGGGTATCGGTTTTTCCGGCCTAAAAAAAATGTTTGTTTTATAAAATTTTTAACTACTGTATAGCTATTTAGAATGATTTTAATATTGATGTAGTCTGTTGATTACGTAGATTTTTGACACTGGTGAAATAAATATTATACAAAACACTATATAAAAATTGTATCAATATAGTAGATATATGATTAGAAATAATTAATTATTTAACTTTTATCATACATGTTTATAGCGTTGAGACATCAACTGAATAAGTTAGAATTTCATAGCGAATTTCAAACAATTCGTTTACAATATTAATAAACAATAGTACAATGGTTAGCCGGGTAGGAAAAGCTTAACATTCCTGGACGAATGTGAAGATTGCTAAGTCGAGGCGCAAGCCGAGACTTAGCAACACAGAGTCCAGGAATGTGGCTTTTCCTACGAGGTAAACATACTATTTTTCCGCAAATCGTTTAAAATTCGACAGATATTGATTGATTTAAAAAAAAAACGCGATAATTTTATTCCCAAATAAATGGTGCTTTGACATTCCTAATAAAATTACTTGAGTTACTATGGAAACGTATTGAGGTTGAATTGTCAAACTTGACGCTTATAAATTTAATTGCTGGTGTTCTCGAAAGTAAAATGATAAGTGATGATGAAATTTCCATTCCTGGGACTCCTCCAGAGCTGGTTGAGGCAGTAAATACTGCTTCATTAGAATTATTGCCAAAGAAATCAAGAGAAAAGTACGAAAATGCATACAGACGTTAATGGATTATCGCATGAGTAAAAATACGAGTTCTTTCTCAGAAAATGTTGTAATGGCATACTTCCTAGACCTTTGTTTAAAGATGAAATCTTCAACATTATGGGCCAATTATTCAATGCTGAAGTCAACCTTTGCACTTAAACACAATGTAGATATATCTACATACTCAAAACTTTGTTCTTTATTGAAACGGCAAGCTCAAGGTTATAGGGCAAAGAAATCTAAGATTTTAACGAAGGAAGAAATTGAAAAATTTATCCAGGAAGCTCCAGATAAAGAAAATTTAATGATTAAGGTAATTTACAAGGTTTTAATTTCTATTTAGATTATAGCTTTATTTATTTTTTAGGTGGCTGTAATATTTGGTATTTCTGGGGCCTGTAGAATGGATGAGTTAGTCCGAATGTCTGTACACGATATAGAAGAATTAGAATCTAAGCTTTTAATCAGCATACCTGATTCGAAAACCAACAAACCAAGATCATTTGTAATTAATCAGATCTACTTGAATGTTTATCGAAAGTATGTTTCGTTAAGACCAGAAAATATGAACAGTGACCGATTTTTCTTTAAATATCAAAGCGGAAAGGGTTGTAGACAAGTGGTAGGAATTCATCAATTTAGAAAAATGCCCAAAATAATTGCTACTTATTTAAACTTGGTAAATCCGACAGAATATACTGGTCACTGCTTTCGTCGGTCTTCTGCAACAATATTGGTTGACTCTGGTGCCGACATAACTAGTTTAAAGAGGCATGGCGGATGGAAGTCATCAAACGTTGCTGAAGGATATATCGAAGAATCGCTTAACAATAAGGTTGAGGTGGCAAATAAAATTTTCACAGTACAAAATATTCAACAAAATGACACTTCTACCCTGCATGTTGTCCAAAATGTTTCTCATAGTTCTAAGAGTGTTCCTCCAATGTTCAATAATTGAACTAACTGTCAAATTACTGTAAATATAACAAATTGATCTTAAAAATGTATACAGCAATGACTTGATGTTTTCAAAATATAAATTAATTCCTTATAAGCAATGTGTTTTCTATCATTTATGTAGAACACTAACAACTGTACGGAAATATCATTTCCTTACAGTAAGGAAGTCCATGAACTTTTTTCTTCAAGAAATTTTGACAGGAATGTCAAAATTTCCTGGCGATTTGCGGAAAATGATAAATATTTGTTTATTAATACACTCACTATATTGGTTTTCACGGTTACATTGTATTAAAATAAACGTATTTTGTTTGTTCAATGTGTTAAATCTTTTTACGAGTAAGTTAAAGATCTTTCGTCACACCTGTCTAAAGATGCATCAATCACTCTATACTACGGTCATTTCCAAGATAAGCTCAAGGTCACACTGATTGGTAGTTGTGTCGTGTCGTCTTAGCTTTTCATTGTTTAGAAATTTTTTTCTAAATAATCTTATTCCAAATAATCAAAATAATAAAGATTATGTACCTGAAAGGTAGTGGTGACGGTCTTAAATTGGGCTCTTCTAAATCACTTTGTCTTACAGCAGAAGCCAATGCAGGAATGCTTAATTTATTAACTTCGGCATCAAAATTAGATAATGACGATTGTGGTTGTGCCGAAGGATAATTATCCTGTTCTTCTTCTATAACTGGTCGTATTTCCCGAGCTGGCGCAGGATTAGGTCTTCGTGGCTTTGGAACGAAATCTTGAGCGTTAAGCCTTTGTTGTCTGAGTTGAAAGGAGCGGGAATTGTCTAAGACTGGAAGGGCTCCCGGAATTTGTAACCTCGGTGGGAATTGGGCATTTGATAAGTTTATAACTGCCTAAAAAATATAACAGCATTAGTACTTTTAACTATATAACAAAATAAGTAATTAATAAACAATACTCTTAATGCTTGAACTCTACCAAATAGAAAGTATATTAAACAGTTACCATAAGCAATTATGTAAAAAGTTCGTGTTTATGTAAATAAATTATTGATATTGATATGTTGATATGGTATATTAATGGGGTTGAAACATATTGTTAACATTGCTTGAGCACTTTAATACGTTTCTTATATCATCATCATCAGTGGTGCTACAGCTCTAGTTGAGCCTTGACCTTCCCCAGTCTATTTCGCCAGTCGTTTCTGTTCATCGCCAACCGTTGCCAATTTGCCGCGCCGATTTTCCTTGCGTCCTCGTCCACACCGTCCCTCCATCTCAGTCGTGGTCTGCCTCTACTCCTATTTCCCACTGGGACCGATAATAGAGTTCGTCTGGGTGGGTAATTTTCATTTGCTCTTGACACATGTCCAGCCCATCTAAGCCTGCCGATTTTTATGAAGGATATTACATCTCTACCATTTACTATTTTTTTATATTTCTCGTACAATTCGAAATTATATCGCCTTCTCCAAATACCATTCTCACAGAATGCGCCCATTATTCTTCTTAGTATCTTCCTTTCGAAGACGAGCAGAAGATTTGCGTCTGTTTTGGAGATGGTCCATGTTTTTGACCCATATGTCAGCACTGGTAGGATGAGTGTTCGATATATTATTAGTTTGGTTTTCTGGCTTAAGTTTCTGTTTTTTAGCTGCTTGCTTAGTCCAAAATAACATTTGTTTGCTAGCAGTACCCTCCGTTTAACTTCTTCAGATGTGTCATTATCGTTTGTTATGAGAGAACCCAAATATGTAAACTTATTTACTACCTCAAAATTATATTGGTACGTTCTTATATAGTAATACATATTTAAGATGTATACGACATTTATATGAAATATTTGCATTCGCTCTAGTAAAACCTTTACAGTTAGTTGACAATTTTTCAATGGCGTTATTTTTTGTGTCAAACATATCGGTGGTACAATGAATAATTGTTGATGGTGTATATCTAATAAATGATAATGTCTTTAGATGATGTTATTGTGGCAAGAATTGTAGCATTGATACAAAATGACTGCGAGCACGTGAAACTGCCAGAATTGTTGGAAGGAGTTTAGGTATTTGCAGTTCACGCTAGGAGGAAACCAGAAAGGCCAGCATCCGGGAGAGATTGAATTACCAACCAAAGAGATGATCGGTTTGTGGTGGCCACAAGTTTACGGGACAGAAGAACCTCTAGGGTTTTTTAAGAAATCAATTTTAAAAGATGAGAAGCGATAATATGTTAGTCAACGCACCGTTAGAAGAACGTTTCGAGTAGCTGGATTATCTTGCAAAAAAATGCAACTTTTATAACGCTCTCATCAGATAGCAAGATTCAATTTTGCTCAGACTCACTTCCTTGGAATAACGTAAATTGAAACAACGCATTGTCGCGTTTTTGTCTTAATGGGTCGGACGGCCGTCGTCGAATATGGAGATCAGACCCGGTGAAAGATATGGTACGGCTTGTATTGATGATGAGGGCAGGAATTAATTCACAAGCACGCACAGAGTAAGCCATTACAGAATTGCTTCCTTATGGCTCACAGATAAATTACAGAAGTTTTAGATGATCATCATATACATTTCATGAATATTATGGGCGAACATGGCATTTTCATGCAAGTTAATGCTAACACTTATCCTGTCAGAGTTGTCAGAGAATATTTTGATGAAGTTGGAATTAAATGATTTTGATTGGCCACCGCTCAGTCCAGACATAGATCCTATCGAGCTCCGAGAGATGTTGCAAGAATTGCAAGAACAGGATAACATCGACCATAATGTTATCCATAATTTAGTTTGAAGTATACCTCGTTGCCTATAAGCTATCATTAATGCTAAAGGGTAAAATACACGTTATTAATGAAATGGATATTTGTCCAATAATGTTTAGTTTTAATCATTTTTTTGTCACTTTCTTAACAACAGTCACACTTTTTTTTTTTGTGAACTGTTTTTTTGCTCCTAATTAAAGCTTAAAAACCGAAATATTACTATTAATGTAATATTGACTATTAAAGTTAGTTTACAAAATACAGTACAATGGTTTCAACCACCAACAGAAGTTTACAACCGAAAATGTCACAATTCGAGACATCGCAATTTCAATGTGACCTAATTTGTTTACCCGCCAATGAATATTATTTAAATCATTTAATTAAAATGAAATCAAATTAAAGTTTTCCTTGGTACTAAAATATAAATTCAAAAACAAAAATTCTCGTTTTTCTTTTATATTCTATGGAATGAGAATCCCAATCTGGGTTTTTACTTTCCAATTTCGTCGCTTGTCACTAGGATAAACAACTTTTAAAAAGTCTATCGATATAGTTTTTGTCTGTTTTCTACACATGGCGATTCTAAAGCGTAACATTGTTTAAATTTAAGCAATGCTATTGCTATTTGTTTTAGAAAGATAGGCGCAGCAAACTGGCAACGGTTGGAATATGGATAGGACTGTCTGGCGTTAATAGACCTTGGGAAGGTCGAGGCTCTTTCATAGGGGCTGTAGCACCATTGATGATGATGATGATTGCTATTTGTTAATTTTAAGTAGTTTTTGTGCAAACAAAATCATATTATTTTATATTGCAAGGATTTTCTTTAATAAATTAAGAGAACCAAGCTTCTATGATAGCAAAAGTGGATCTATTAATTTCAGTCTGCTGATTAGTATTTGCCAGTTTTTGTAACTCTGAAGTCATCTAGTATTTATTGTATTATTTCCACTAATTCCAAAACTCTGTTTTGAAAGTTACATAAAACCAACCATTAAATAAAATTTTGGTGTAAAGTTTATTGAAATTACTTATGATCTGCCGAGAGATAGTTGAAATGAGAGTAATCGTATCATTAGTGATACCAGTAAAACATATACAGTGAAACTTCTCCATAAAGGACACCAACGGGGGAAATAGATGCCTGTTGTGTAGAGTTATCGATTAATCAATTGAAAGAAAGAGGTTTCGATTTGACTTGATCTTTAATTATACATTTTCGTACATATTTGCATAAGCTTATACACAAATAAAATACTAATATAAAAAAGATCGAAAATATTGGACACCTATTCGTTTTCTTTAAAATCACAAACACTATGACTTTCGCAAAAGGTTGATAACTACAAATCATCTTTCAGGTTTGTAGCTCCAGATTATTCACAACTTCTTCTCCATTACTATCGTTTTTTTACTAACCTAAACCTAAAAAAACGCTTTTTAATTGTTTTGATTGAAACGTCTCTACATGCTCCCACAATCCAAATTAAGGCGTTAGCAATCGTTATAGACATGCAGTTCAACCGTTGATAAAGCACAGTCTATAGCAGATGATAACAATTTTCTCATCCAAAACTTTCTATATAGGGATTTAAAGTTTTTAATTATTCCTTGGGCTAATCTCTGGTTATCCAGGCTTTTTTGTTGTAGTACCAGTCAGCTTGGAGTTTATGGGAATGAAAATTTTTAAAATATCAATAATCTTTACTTTTAACAATCACCAAAGATTTTTCTTTTCCCTTATTTAAATTTGCACCCAATAACACGGTCAGCCTTTCCTTAGCAGATTTACCCTAGTGCACATTTTTATAACAAAATGTAAAAGTTTTACTTAGTAAGGCTAATTAATACAATACATTCAAATAATGAATGCAAACCTGTTCATTCACAATAACGAAATCGAACGGAGTGCACAAATATAAATATGTGGAAAATAGTGTTAATAACAACAATGATATCACAGAAAAATAAAAACTAGAATTGGAAAGGCTCGAGCTGCTTTTGTTAATATGAAGGACATTCTGGGAAGTCATGACATTAAACTAAAACTGAAAATGAGATTGGTTAGATGCTACATCTTTTTGATAGTTACTGCACGGAGTAGAGACTTGGACTTTAAACAAGACCAGTACCGATAAACTAGAGGCCTTCGAAATGTGGATATATAGAAGAATTTTGAAAATACCTTGGACAGACAAAATAACAAATAGTATAGTTCTTTGAAGAATGAACAAAGAACGGGAGCTGTTGATCACCATCAAGAGAAGAAAGTTGAAATATCTTGGTCATGTGATGAGAGGGAAAAAGTACCGATTGATCCAGGTAATTATCAAGGAAAGATTCAGGGCAAGCAAAGCGTGGGTAGACGACGTATATCTTGGATGCGCAATTTAAGAGACTGGTTCCAGTGCACATCTAACCAATTGTTAAAGCAACAGCTTCAAAGATACGAATATCAATGATGATTGCCAAACTCCGTAGCGAAGAGAGCACTTGAAAAAGAAGAAGTCTCGTCAGCATTTTAAATATATTTAGGTAAATAGCCACTTAACAAATTTGGTAGTTTTCTTTGCCACTCTAAAATTTCGTCAAGGTTAACATTTGCAGCTTCTCTAGAGATTGCTCTAAATTTAATGTTATGTCTTAAGCAAACGTTGTCAAGCCAACCATTGAACGCTAAAATTTAAATTGAGTTATTGCGCTGCCTCTAAAGCTCTGTCTTATTATCGGTCCAGATAATGGAATGTATTATTAATTCTTACTCTACAAAACCAATCGTAGACATAGTATCGATGGCAACCCTTCAGTTTTAATCCTACATTATCAATTCATAATAATTTGTTCATTCACAAGCAAGTACTAAATCCAGTATGGGTATATGAGTGCCAACTCTGGGGCTATACCCAGCTGGTATATTACTAATGCTAGTAATATACATATTATCCAGAGATTTCAAAACAAAGTACTGAGGAACCTTGTTGATGCTTCTTGGTATATCCAGCAGCCTCCACCAGGACCTGGCTATGGAAACTATGACCAATGTAATTAAGAGAACAGCAGCAAGTCACGAACAGAGGCTGCATAGTCACTTTAGTGTCAAGGCAATCTAGCTTCTTGACAACACTGA